ATCAGGATGTGCTGACCCGCCGACAGACCAATAAGTTGACGCACTCGCAGAACACGTTTATCACCGTTAGCTGTAAACTACTGGCCGGCGATTTGCCGCCGGCGGTCGGCGACGCGCCCAACACGTGTCTGGCGTTGACCAAGAGTTTTGGCGATGTGATCAGCGCCGGCTATTTTCGCAATGACCTCTATCTCAGCATCGAGTCGGCCGACCTCGAGAAAGGGGGTGAGTGTTGTGTCACTGGAGTTGATCCATGTTTTTGTCTTTGTGTCACCCGATCTGATCCATTATTTTTTTTTTGTTTATCACTAATGTGTATAAATTATAATTTACAGACTATTAGCGCGTGATTTGAGTTTTTGAAAATTAGTTTAAAGTTTAGGTTTTAATTTGGTTTAAACTGTTTGAATACAATTTGTGATTAGTCTTAAGTTTTTAATTGAGTTTTAAGTATTTAATTACCAGTGGTTTTATGATTTAATTATAATTTTTAAACAATGATAATCATTACAATTACAAATCCATTGATACAAACAATGGACAACATTATGGACAAAACTAAACGCCTGTGCCATCGCTTTCTCATAGGCAAAGCCATACCGAAGAACATCGAAGTGTCCACATGTCTGGTGACGGCCGAGAACGGGGTTCAGGACAAGTCAATCAGCGCCGGCTGTAANTGGACAAAACTAAACGCCTGTGCCATCGCTTTCTCATAGGCAAAGCCATACCGAAGAACATCGAAGTGTCCACATGTCTGGTGACGGCCGAGAACGGGGTTCAGGACAAGTCAATCAGCGCCGGCTGTAACGACGACCGGCACACGTACTACCGGTCGCACGTACTCTACCACCAGAACAGCCCCCGCCTATCGGAGCACATGAAAGTACACGTACCGCTGGATCTGTTCGAAGCGGCGCACATCCGGTTCGAGTTCCGCCACTGTTCCTCCAAAGACAGAGAGCGCAAACTCTTGGGCTTCGCTTTCCTACCGCTGGCCGACGCGTTGGGCGCCTGTATTGCCGACGGCGACCACGAGCTGTACATTTATAAGTGCGATGACATCCGCCGACTCGACAACGCCAACGAGTATCTGTTCATACCGTGGGGTCCGAAGGATTCGCTGAGTCCGGCCACTAGCGGGCCGTTTACCCGCTCGGCGAAGGAGTGCGCGCACGTCCGCACGTGTCTCGTGTCCAGCAAATTGACCCAAAACTCGGATCTGTTGTCTTTGTTGAAGTGGAGAGAGAATCCCGACTCAATTGTCGAAGCGCTGAAGCGTGTGATGCGAATACCCGGCGAAGAGTTGGTCAAGTTCTTGGAGGACGTGTTGGACGCGTTGTTCGCGCTGTTCGCCAACAACGACGGCTCCACTACCGCCCACTCGGGCCTCGTGTTCAAAGTGTTGATCCATATCTTCACCACATTGGCTGAGCCCCGCTTCCGGTCGTACGAGTTAGCGCTGGACACGTATATCGAGAGCCAGTTCTCTGCGGCACTCGTCCACAAGGGTTTGGTCTCGTGTGTTGAACAGTGCGCTAAAGTGGTGGGCGATGTCGGCAAACGGGACCCGATTTATAAGTGCATGCGAGTGCTCGCGTGGCTCATCAAGTTTATCATACAGTCCCGCATACTCTACACCCGCGCCACCGGCCATAACGAGGACAGCGACAGCTTTCGGGCCGATATGTTTGGTTTGTACGGAGCCCTCAATCGGGTGCTCACACTCGAGAGCAAAGGTATTGTAGTTTTTTTAATGCAATTTTGTGTGTTTTAATTGTTTTGTGTCTGTTTTTTAAGGCCCGAGCGATGAGTCGGTGACCGCAATACAGGAAGCGATACTACTGTCGATACCGATAACATTCCCGCAACTCATTCACGTGTTAAATGTGATAAATCTGGCGAAACTGATCAAAACGATCATCAATTCGGTCTTCGACGGTAACCATAAGATAATATGCGCCAAACTGTTGGTCATTCACGAGACGGTAAAGTGCGGCGACATCTGGAGCGACGACGAGTCCCGGTTCGAGCTCTTGGATACAGTGATACGGCAACTGGTGTTGCATATCGTCGAACGGGAATCGTTGCCAATTCTTCGCCACATTATCATCGAATTGCGCCAAAACGGCAGCTCTCGGGACACAGAGATGCTGAGCATCGGAGCGCTGGACGTGATGGTCGAGCACATCATCGACATGTCAGAGATCAGCGGCAATCACTCGACTGATCCGGACGCCGACTACTTGTCCCAATTTATCACGTGCTTTATATCGCTGTTGGAGCGAATGAGCGAGGGCGATTACTATCAACTCTTCGAGATCCGCTCCCACCGGCAGCGCAAAGAACTCCTGTGCCATATATTCGCCGCATTTCACGCCACACTCAACCACTTCCCCGACCACTGGTCGGCCATGAAAATGACCGCCAATCACGTGATACTCTGTTCGCTGCAAGAGTTGTGCGCCATTATGTCACGCAATTTTCTCGACCAATCATTCGATCCGATTGTCTGGCGATCGTTCTTCTCGTTGGCCATCAGTTTTCTCACACAACCGTGTCTTCAGTTGGAGTCGTACTCTGTGTTCAGACAGCGAGCGGTGACCGACAGGTACGGCGATATGCGTGTACTGATGGGCTTCCAGTTGGTCGCCTGTTGGGACCAATTGGGCGCCTCGAAGATACAGTTCATACCGGCGCTGGTGTCGCCCTTTCTGGAGGTGACACTCGTACCGGAGGGCGATCTCCGCAAAGCAACGATTCCCATCTTCTACGATATGCTGGACGTCGAGTTCAACGCCAACGGCAACTTCAAACAGGTTTGTGTCTCATCGGCGGTCAATCACTGTCCGCAGTCACACTCGGGAGCAGTGGTTTTGCTGATGGTATTAATCATGGTTTATGTCTTTGCAGGTGGAATGCGCTCTAATCGACAAATTGGATATTCTAGTTAATAACGGCGCCGGCGATCCCGAGTTCCGGGAACTGCTGTCCACGATGTGAGTGTCATATCTGTGTATAATTTATTTTTGGATCAATTGATTTCATTACTAATTGATAACAAATCCTAACTCTTTCTCACTGTTAATGTCTTTCTCTCTTAAACGCTAACCAATACTAATAGGGATTGTATTAAACAATTGTAAGCAGTCTTTCATTTAAAAAACAATGGCAAATATTTGGCTCATAATGTCTTGTAATCTAATCCCGTGTTTGTTGTCAACCATTCCTCCGCAGTCTCAACAAAAAACTATCTCAAGCGCAGCCGTTATGGCGAGACGACGGCCAGCGACTGATCGGCTCGCTATCCAAACTGATGTCACTGTTAATAGACTACCGGTCGGTGATGTCGGGCGACGGGGACTCTGTGCTGATGTGTACGTACGCTCTGCTCCGGTTCTATAGGGACGAGATATCGGCGGTGAACCGGACGGCCATAATGTTGCGGTACATCGAAAAGTTGTCGGCCCTTCACATACCGCTCGGCAATTACGCCGAATCGGCGTTCGCTTTGCAATTGCACGCAAACCTACTGTCGTGGGACGGCTCGGGCGCCACCGGCGCCGTCGAGTATCTCAAGAAGGAGTCGCTCTATCAGCAGATAATCGACTATTTCGATCGCGGCTCGTGTTGGGAGGAAGGGGTCGCTGTGTGTAAAGAGTTGGCACCCGTTTACGAGCGCCAGTACTCGTTGGACCGGTTGTCGCAAGTGCTCAAAAGGCACGCAAACTTTTTGGATAAAATACTCAAACAATTGCGACCCGAGAACGAGTACTTTCGGGTCGGCTTCTATGGCCTCGACTTTCCGACGTTTTTACAGGTTTGTGATGCCCTTACATGCGGTGCCCATTGCCTTACGGCTCAAGACATTTGTTTAATGTATTGTTTTCACGAACAGAATCGGGTGTTTATATTCCGCGGCCTGGAGTTGGAAAAGATCGGCGCTTTCACGCAACGCATCCAATCGGAGTTCCCGTCGGCCCAACTCATGACCAAAAACGTGCCGCCGGACGAGTCCATCACCGAATCTCATTGTCAATGTATGTCACCATTCATTTGATCCCAACGTAACACCAAATTAAACTCATTTTATACCTGATTTTATACAGACATTCAAATAGTGGCCGTACGCCCGGTGCCCGACCCGCCGCACATCGCCAAAAGCGAGTCCACTGCCAACGGGTCGTCGACCGCACCCGAGACGGCCCTAAACTACTACAACACAAACTGTGTCCGCAAATTCATATACGACCGACCCGTGCAAAGGGCGCCGTTTGACCCGAACAACGAGTTCAAGTCGCTGTGGATTGAGCGCCAGTGCTGTCAGATTGAGCACCAGTTGCCCGGAGTGTTGCGCATGTTTGAAGTGGTGGCCACACACGTGACCCAAGTGTCGCCCATAGAGCACGCGTGCGAAACCATCGACAACATGAACCAAGAGTTGTCGAAATTGATCTCCAGTTTCACCTCCGAAGCCAAATACGAGTCCATTTCACCGCTTTCTATGCGATTACAGGTATTGTGGGATCTGTTTGAGTGATTGTCTGATCGGTGTTTAATAGCCATTGCTTTTCTACACGTGAAGGGCATTCTGGAGGCCGCTGTCAACGGCGGTGTCGCCAAATATATGGACGCGTTTCTGGTGCCGACATTCATCGCCGCCAACTCTCCGCTCTCGTCATTCATTGTGCGCCTCAAGTCAGGGATCGCACATCAGGTCCGCATTCTGGAGGGCGGACTCACACTCCACGGCCGACTCGCGCCGCAAGCCGTGCGACCCCTACACCAGCGACTGGTCGAGCGGTTCCAGACGATGCGGGCGCACATCCATCAGTCAAACATCGATAATCGGCCGTCGATTCTATCGCAACCGTTGCCTCCCATTCCCAGCCACGACAACACCGGCGGCGGCGGTCACCCGAAGAAGTCTGTTGTGATGGTAGGCGCGGCCACATCTGCCGCCAGCCTATCGATGACCACCGACTCGTTGCCGCCAATCTATGGCCAGATGTTGGGCGACGAGAATATCTATTCCGTACCGCAGGACCAGACAGTGCTAAACCTGTCGCAGGGGTCGCCGCGGCCGCGATCGGCCGGTTTCGAGAACGGCGGACACAACGCTCGGGTTCAACGCTCGCGATCCATACCCCGCTCGCACCCCATCAACAGCGGTCTCAACACTATTCACGGCTCGCCCGCAAACACCGGACCCCCTCTACCGCCGCGTTCGTCGACTCTGGAGCGCAATCACAGCCACACCAGCGGTTCCAGCAGTTCGGGCAGCGATAGGCCGGCTCTCCCTCGTCGGCAGCGCAAGTGTTCCAACGATTTGGAGTACAAACTCATTGATATCGACATCGAGAGCATACCCTCGCCGTCGGCACTGTTGGCCGCCATGAAGAGGGGTTTGGATCCACTCGACCCCCAACACCACCACAACAACAACAACAACACTAGTCTTCTGGACTGATGGCCACTCTATCGATGAAAATAATGACATTTTATTATTATTATAATTGATATCATATTTAAGTATTAATGCATTTATTAATCAATTGCTTAATTGATATCTCATTCCTGTATATAAAGAGAGACTGAAAAGTGATTTTTACCGAAAGGATTGACAGAATATATATACAGAATATTCCGGATTTTACTATACATTCATTCATATATTCATTGATATTTTTAAATGTATTTTTACGTAACTTTTTGTACATTTTTACATCTCTTTTAAAGAGTTTTTTAATTGTTTTTAAGTTTTTTGTATTATTTATACGATTAATACTCTATTTATTTATATAATTAGTGATTATAAAAAGTATTTATTATAAGGACTTAATTGTAATAATTTTTTATAATCAAAATAATTGGATAAAACATTTTGTATTTCCTATTTTTAGATGTAATTATTAATTGTATAATTAGTTTACATTGTTTTTTGTATAAGTATTTATTATAAGGACTTAATTGTAATAATTTTTTATAATCAAAATAATTGGATAAAACATTTTGTATTTCCTATTTTTAGATGTAATTATTAATTGTATAATTAGTTTACATTGTTTTTTGTACACTATTTTTGTCTAATAATTACATAACGATTACTCAATGTATTTATAATTGTATTTATTATTTACTACTTATTTATGTTTATAATTAGTTAATTTTTATTGAGTTGTAAACTAATTGTGTTATAAAAACTTATTATTTGATAATTTATTGATTAGTTTTTATTATGTTTTGTATTATTATAATTATTATAACCATTTAATTGTGTAAAAGTGAAACCATTTTCTATGCTTTTTTAATGGTCTGTAATAACCGGCTATTGATCCCCTAATCCATGGGATTAACAACAATTAAATTCACAATAAATGCATTTAATTATAATTGTTTTATTCATTTATTGATGAGATTTACAATTAAAGCACACATTTTTGGCCAAAAACTTAATGATATAATTAATGTAATAAAATAATGTAATCAATGGGAATCACAATAACTCATTATTTAATGTATTTTTAGACATTTTTGTCATTAGCATTAGCAATGGTATCACAGTGTATATAGACTTAACATTATTTATAGCATTAGCATTAGCCAATTGACTTAGCATTACCCATGTAAAACCTATGTAATAAATAACGCTTTAAACAAGCTGAATTAATCAGAGAATCATAGCACAACTAATGCTTTAAAATGAACAAATTGTTGTAATAGTCATTATTGTACTCAAAACAATTAAAAAAAAGCATCCAATTGGTTGTCCTATTACTCAAGAAAACATATTTAAAAAACTTTATAACTTATTAATAATAATATCCTAAATAATAATAATAACTTATTATACAAATATAGTCATAAATTTTTGAATCCACCTTACGCAAACAACAACATAATTAAATAATCTCATATAATGAAATAAATATTGTTATTAAAACTGTATTGTTATCGCAATTTTGTTTGTATGATTATTAGACTTAGGATAAAAAAGGGATAAAAATATTTTAATTGTTGTAATTCTTACAAAATGCGAGACTAGGGTTGGCAAAGGAATTAACAATTAAACCCGATTTTTATGTTCGGGAATCGAATGAAAGGAACATTTGTTTGTAATAAAAACCCGTTAATTAATAATATCGGGTTTAATTGTTAGTTCCTTTGCCAACACTAATCTCGCATTTTTTAAAAATAACAACAATTAAAATATTTTTATCCCTTTTTTATCCTAAGTCTAATGATTATATTTAGTAATAATTAGACTTAGCATAAAAAGGGGATAAAAATGTTTTAATTGTTGTATTTTTAAAAAGTAACGAGACTAGTGTTAATTAAATACCTAACAATTAAAACCCGATTTTTATTGGGTATTGAAAAACGGGAAGATTTTTATTGTGTTTAAACCGAGTAATTATATAAAAATACAGAAAAACCACAACAAATATCAAATGATGTTATATTTAACTAAAATGATGATTTTATCCGTATTTTTATGTAATTACACGGTTTAAACACAATAAAAATCTTCCCGTTTTTCAACACCCAATAAAAATCGGGTTTTAATTGTTAGGTATTTAATTAACACTAGTCTCGTTACTTTTTGAAAATACAACAATTAAAACATTTTTATCCCCTTTTTATGCTAAGTCTAGTAATAATATAACATTATATTGAACATTCTTAAATTAAATTGCAATTCCAAGTTCACAGTGTTCTACAAATCAACATTGTAATATACAGGGTGTACATTAATGGACTCCACAAAAGTAAACTCGAATATGTCGAAGAGTATTCGGTCTCAAAATTCAATGATATAATTAATGTAATAAAATAATGTAATCAATAACTGATTGAATGTATTTTTGTATATTTTTGGCATTCGCATTAGTCTCATACAGTATTTAACATTGCCATAGACCTAGCATTACCCACGTTAAAGTATAGCCATTGACTTAAGCTGTAATATCATGTTAAACCCACAGGGTTAGAGAAAGAGAGATGGGGTAGTCGAACGATCTTATAAACCATATTATTTATAGCTGAATTGTGGCTAAAAATATTTAAATATAATAAATTGAATACACCCTAAAGATAAACACACCAAACACTGCTAGACAAACAATTATTATTATTATAATTTAATACTTGTGTAAATTTACTGTTGGTTCATTTAATTAGTTTCAAACATGGTACATTTCCGCATTTTTGTAATATGACGTTAAAATTAAATTATTTATAAACTATAGCTTTAGAATATTATTAATATATAAGATAGAGAGATTCTAAGGGTTTTCATTGATTTCGTATAATATAAATGTAATCATGATCACTTTACGTATTTTATATTCAGTAATATTATATAATAAGGTTATTTTCAACAAAACATATAATTGCAGTCATCACGCTCGGATTAAATCAGCAAACAACCCTTTAATTACCTATGCTTATGTAAATATTATAATAAATTATTTATATTAATATCGTTATTAAAAATGTATATGTTGATAATTATTAAAATAAAGCCAGGGTTGATGTTTGGAATGTATTTATCATTTACTCAGCATATTTTGTGTCAATTCAATCTACCAATCATTTTTACACGCAAAAATACCGTAATGTATAATTATAACATTCGAACATTACTTGTAAATGATAAATGCTTCATTATATTCTACTGTTAACGTAAAATGTTTATGATCATTAACAGTTCCAAACATCATTTGGTTCCTATTCCGCTGTAAAACTACTAGATTTAAAAGAAGTCTACACTGGAGTTGCATATAAAGAGTTATATAGTATTGAGATAATTTCGGGTTTACGTTCAAATCGCAACATTTCAATGTTTGTCATATTTCAATTATTTCATTTTCAGGTAGTTGTCCTATTTATTTTGATAATTTATATATTGTTAATAATTAGGCTTTAATTAATACAATACAATACAATACTTAATCTATCATGTTTTAAAATTTAATTTGAATTTCTAATAAAAACACGATAATAATTGTAATTACAATCTTACATAATAGCTTTGGTTATATATTCTATTGTCTGGGTTGTTCATTATTGCAGTAATTAAATTTAAATACCCGGATATAACTAATTTACTACACGCCATGATTGATATATTTAACCTTATCATAAACCAATCGTATAATTTATTTAATAAAATAATAAATTTAAAAATCACTGGAATATCAATGACTGCATTGATTTATATATGGATTATAAGTTCACTATTGATAACAATATTTTATTGCAACGATATATTGGACTCTTATATTAATGTAAAATTCGTGCCAATAGTGAACACAATTGAAGATATTTTAAACAACAATAAAATGAATGTATTGTCGAACAAACATTTTATTAAAAATATTGGTGAAAATTATCCAGAATTTAAACGATCAGCGAATTTATTATTTGCAAAACATTTGAATTACGAGAAATTATTGAACAAAACGAGCGATATATACCATATTGTATTCAATGAATCCATGTTTCTGGATATGATTTCCGGGAAGATTACGTTACTGTCAAACACTGCATCTTTAACTCAATACAAATCGATATATTCCCGATATAACAGTCAATTCTCAATTAGTCAACACAAATATTTTCATAACTTGGTATATTGTGGACTCGCAAGTAATAATCAATATAAACAACTATTACTAAACATGTGAGCTTGGAATTATACATTATCACATTTTGATATTTATTTTAACTTATAATTGTTAAGTTAATAGCGAAATATAATTTCGATATAAAGAAGTTTATCATGTTTTAAAAATCTATAATATCAGGAATTTAAATATTTAATTTTTAATTAGGTTTAAACGCGGTATGGAATGTGGTCTAAATCACCATACTGAGATGATTAATTCAATATTTAACAGATGGATATATTTATGGAACAAACATAAACAAAAAACCAAATACATTACTACTAAATTGATTTCAACGACTGATAACACATATAATGACATAACAATCGCCGATATGTCTAGAAATGCATTCTCGCTGTTAATCACCGGATATTTCATTGCATTTATTGTGATATTCATTGAATTCATTGTATATTTTAAACATTATTTAACATTTACTATTTCACTTATATTTATTATAATATATTAATACAATAATAAATTTATGAGTTATCGTTTACATATAATATCTACATGATAATTCAAAGGTAATTTTGAATTATATTGTCATGTACATGACCTCTAAATCTTATTGTATTTCTCAGAAGTGCTATTACACTTACTTTTGTAACCCTAATCCCACATATCTCCTGATCCGTACTCCACAGTACCCCTTAACGACGGCCCCAACCAATCACAAACTGGTACTTTTCCAGTACTCAACACTCTGTATTCCTTTATAGCACACATTCAAACCATATTGTACTCCAGTCTCTTCTCAGTCTCCATTCTATCGGGGTTTCGGTTATATTTCCATAGTGTTTTGTAACATTGTATTTGAATGCTTTC